CCCTAGATATCATCATCAGGATTTGTTTCATGCCCCTGGATTAAGAGAATGAAGCTGTTATTGCAGCTGCTTTTTGCTCAAGCTCCCCAACCTTAAAACCAGTGAGGGCATATGCTAGCCTCTAGCGTTCATATAGAAAAGGTACCCCATGCCACATCATGCCAGAATTTGTCAAGTGAGGGGCATGCGAATGTATCTCCTGAAGGCCAGAGAAGAGAGGAAAGCTGGTCTTTAGGGTGCTACTTCAGATGTGCAAACATAGCCTTCAGCTGCAGTAAAACTAAAGCAAAGGCTCATCTACACAGCGAGGTACTGCATGTGAAACCCAGAAATGTGCAGTACGCTCCTGTGTTAGACTCAAGCTCAGTCATTTTGGACGGAGTTTATCCTCCAAAAGCTACCTGAACTTGTGCTCATTTGTCCTCCCTCCACTATTCCCCTTTCAAGAAAAGGGCAATAAAATGCTGCCCTAGTTGCTTAGAGAGATCACTAATGTGACTCTGCACAGAAGCTTCTAAATACATCATGACAGCAGAAATGCAGGCTTGGACCAGAGGCATGGGAAAAGGTGGTCCTCCAGCCACGATAAAACCAAGGGAGGGCACGCAGGCTGTGGTTCTACACTATCATTCATCTCACGGCAAACCAAGAGGTTTCTGTCCCTTCCAACCTTTGCTCGCAATACCCGTGTGTCCCCATAGATTCCCTACAGTGATACCCATCCCACTGCTTCTGTAGCCATACTCCGGCTCTGTGAAAAGGTATTTTCTTTAAATCTCTTGGCAGCATGTTTTGACTTTTATCATTGGGTCAGATATCTGGTTTAAAGGACAGCCATACATCTGGTTGAGCCAGCACAACCATGAAGAAAAACTCTAGCAGGAGGAAGGGAAAAGTAGGGACTTCAAGCTGGGCTTGAAGCAGCAGAACCTCAACAAATCAGTTTTTAATAACCATCAGAAGGAACCAAGTCAGTCCTACCTGCAGCTGGTTACTGCTGACAGCACTTGTGGATGACTCTCCTTGAGAAGCAAGACAGACATCAAAACTCAGAAGTATTTTCTGCATTCATCCTCCACCAGGTCTCTCTGAACGCAGCAGGAGTTGCACAGTCTCCTCCTGGTCAGTTCGCCACTCTTGGCCTATTTACAAGTCCCATTACAAGGTCTGAATGCCCTGACTTCATGCATGCGATTGCACATAGTTTCCTTACCAAAGGGGATGGGAAAGCATTTGGCTCAAACAACTTCTGATACTCTGCCCAAAACATTAAGCCAACTTTTCCTAGTGCTCCAGCATGTGACAGCAAACTGCTGTAACATACACAAAAGGCAACCAAAGCCAAGCGGATAATACCACATTCATCTAGCCACTGGACACAGGACAACTTGCAGCAAGAAAGGCAGCTATCACATATGAAAGGCACCATTAAAAACAGCGTGCCTGAAATTCAGCCTTTCAGCTGCCCTGAAAAGCCCTTCTCAATAGCCCGCAAGAATCAGAGTCCTTCTCTTCTGACCAAAGGCTCCTCCAGAACTCATCAAGTAACATCTAGAAGCCCAGCCTCTCAGATCGAGGGCCAAGAAGCAATTCAAAGCCATGCTTCAGCCTGCTCCTTGTCGTGGGTTTGAGCTGCTGCCTTTGATGCTCCGGGACCCTTCTGATCCAGAGGTGGGAAAATTCTCCAACACCCCAATGAAGGCTTCAGTCCCTCACTCGGCCCTTGCTTAACTTTTTGCCAAAACAACTCTGCTAGTCCCAAAACGCATCTTCCCCCCCCATCAGCATATGCCACGCATTTCATACTTAGCTACATCTGCTTCCACAAGCCCTTATGGCACCTGACCCCAACTACCATGAAAGTGAAAAACATCTCTTTTTGTTCCCAGTGTAATAAAGCAGATTTCAAAGCCAACCCATCCTTCCAGAGCAGTTATGAAACTTGTGTGCAGAAAGAAGCAACCTGTGATGCTGTGACAAGCAAGGATGAACAACACAAAAGAGAGAAACAGTCAGCGCTAAACACAAAAGAGAAAAAATAGTCATTGCTTCATTTCCTACTGGGATTGAGAAGCCCAAGTCCCTGAGAGGACAAGCAGCAGGTGAAGGATGGCATGGGGCCCCGTCAAAGCTCAGCTGCTCCTGCAGTACAGGGAGAGCTGCCAGCTGGGGACATTGCCACACGTGCAGTCGTGCAACAGGGATCACTGAGATGTTTTGGAAAACAGCTGGTACCCTCTGGAGAAGAGGGACAAACAATCGTGTCCCCTTCTCCAGGTCCACCATGAAGAGCAATGGGAGATGGCCCTGGCAAGCCTAAGAAATGCAAGAGATGAGAAATACATTGGCTTGGCCCCTTCCCCCTAGGAGCAGCTCTTCACCTCCACCAGACTAAAGGCTCCCCCACATTAATCGCAGTGCTAATTGCATTTAAAAGAGCAGACGAGTCCTGGAAGATGAGGAAACTCAACTCCATCCTTGGATTTCTCCCACTACAACAGTGGAAAGGGCTCTAGGTTTGTTACAAACACAGTAACGCTTTCCACAGAGTGCAAACTGAAGTCACAGCTATTATCTTTCTAGCTGTACATTAAGACAGAACTCTGCTCTGGATCCTTAATAGGCTAAAGATGCTTCCTGCAACCTCTCTATGAAATGGGGCTGAGAGGGCCTGCAGTACCGACGTCTTCAGGTATTCGGGGAAGAGACTTGCCTCAAGAACAAGCAGATGCATTACTTTGAGATTTTGTTTTAATCTGACACATAATTATGACATGCCTTCGCTCGTATTAATCAAGCCTAGACATGGTAGCCAGAGAAAGGAGCAAAGGAGTCAGGAATAGCTTGCACTTGAATAGCCAGCAATAGCTGCACATTGAAAAGATAGCCTGAAAGCTTCTGGTTCAATGGCTGTCGCCCAGGGACTATTCCTGGCTGAGACCACAAAGCGCCAACCTGAAAAGCATCCTAACTTCGCCTCCGGCAGCAAGTGGCTTTGGCAAACGCTGGTGGGAAAACAATGACCTCTTGTGCCACCCTATAGAAGCCAGGAGTGCGGCAGGACTCAAGGAATGAAAGCGATCGTGCTGAAAGAAGGGGAGAAAAAGCTGCAGGTCTTACAGGGCAGTCAATAAGGCATCACATCGAGTCCTCCTTATCCTCTGTTCATCCTCAAAGTGAGACGTTTTCCAGGTTTGGAGTCCAAACTAAATCCTTCCAAATTCCTGCTCAGGACTTTTGAATAAAGCAAGAGATGTTTCTCCTCTAAACAAATCTTTTGTTGTTGTTGAAGGAAAGCCAAAGAGCCCAGCAACAGCAAAACACAAAAGACAAGGTGTTCCCAGATCCTTTGTTAAAGCACAAAAGTCCCTCTGGGAGAAGAGAGACTAGTTCCATACTTAACCTGGCTATATAGGGATTTTCAGTCAGTTTAGAAAGGGGCTTGCTCTACACATGTTTGTTTTCCTCCTTTGTTAGTTTACATCTCGCATTAGCTTTAATACACAGCGGGATGTTGATTTTAAGGACCAGGACAGCAGGGCCAATCATCTGCTGATATAAACATGCAATGCCAGCAGGTCTTCAAATTCAGCTGGATGGAGAATACGGCTCATTTAAATGCTTGCATGAGTTCATCTCACAGCACAGCCTCCCGCCCCTCTGCATTTACTTGACTGTGCACAGGATTTGCTGATTTTCTAAGTTAACATAGTAGGTCCTCGCAATCTCTTAGTTATCAAAATAGCAGAGTTGCCCTTCCTCCGTGTACATTTTGTACAGGACCGTTCAGATCTTTCCTTTATAAAAGTGCAGATTACCAGGAAAACAAAACAATTGCAATCCAGACACCAGCCACCCCACCCAACAAAGAGTTTAATTGTTCCAGTTACTCTCTGCCCTCTATATTTGCTTAGATGCATTTAAGGAAAACAGCTCTGCTTTTTGGATGGTCACTTACCTTTTGTTTTCCTATCCACCGCAACTGGCTTTTTAGTTTCTGCTGTAAGCAACAGCTCATAAGGGTGTTCTTCTTCCTCAGCTCCACTTCCCCTGCTCTTTCCTCGTGCAACAGAGGCCTAATGAGAAACAGCATAATGTAGTGCTCCGCAAAGCAATGCTATTTATCCCAGCAATAAAGCACAAGGCCTCTTTATGCCATGGTTTAAGCAAGGAATTGGCAGAGGCAACACCTTCGCTGCGGAGCGTGATCCAAAATGTAATACTCCCTCCCCTGCCCTCCTCAAAACAACCATCCAAACCCCTTTATTTTCTAGTATTTAAGGTTGCTGACAGCTTCCTGATTCAACTGACCAACTGATTCACTGCACAAGGTCTACAGACAGCCTGGAGGGAGGAAAAGAGCTGAGATCGTTATTCCTGTTCATCCCAACTCAGACTTACTGTTGCTATTGGAATTTGCATCGTCATTCACCATTTAGTTGCTGGCCCTATTAGGACATGGCTGGGGGGGGGAAAAAAAAAAAAAACAAACCAAAAGCCCAAATCCCTGCCACCTTCTCAGACATCTCAGATCTAGCATTTCTAACCTCAGGATGCACAGTGTATTTAGGACTAAAGAGTCCTCAGGCAACACTCTATAAACTCAGTTTAACCTCAGGATGTGCAGCAGCAATTGTGCTCATTTAAATCACCAAAAGCCTCTGATTAGAGCTTGTTTGTAATATTGGCAGATCCTCCAGCAAGCCGCTCTGGAAAGCCACCATCCATGCGCAGGGATGCGGTCTTGATGCAGGATCCAAATGGAGTCTTGCTGCAGACTTGCACATGTTGGTCTACCTCAATGCCAAGGATGACAGGCATTCGACGTCCTTAGAGAGCCACGTGTGCCATCCCAGTGCTAATGGGACTAAACCCGGCTTCAAGGCACCCTGCCTGCATGGTCAGCTGCCTTTCAGCACCATCTCCTGGCCAGACCCTGGCAGGTTGATGCAACCCTGTCCCCGGAGCCATGTGTGCCTACAGCCAACCGTGGCAGGGTCAAACCCAAGCCAGAAGGCAAGCGATCCCTACCTGCTGCCAGGACAGGGAAGAACAGGTCTGAACAAAACATCCCCCCAAGGAGGGCTCTCATACTGCTCACAGACTCCTGGAACTGCCACTGTCTAGACATGAGACTAAGCACCACCTCCAATTTCTTCCCCAAAGTGAAAGCATCAGAGTTGCTTCAAGGGCAAATAGGTACCTACCCAACTGCAATCTAGCCAGGACCTCTGGAAGCTTAGGGAATCTTGGAAAGACTCCCAAGAGTCAGCAGCACAGACAGGAGGCCGGCATCCGTGTACTGTTTCTGCATAAGCCCAGCTGGCTTTTAAATCAACTTTCTCAATGGGAGGAAACGGGCCATGTCCAGCAAAGAAAGTATTTATTCTACCTGCTTCAAGCATGAGCTGTCAGGCAGACCTGCTCCTTTTCAGGTGAAGGAGCTCATAATGACCAAATTAAGGAAAAAAACTTCTGACCAGATGGTGGCACAAAAAACATCAGACCATAACAGTAGGTAACAGGCTCTTGCCAGAGATCTTGGAAAAATACTGCACAGCAGCAGCCTGTCACAACAGTTGTAGCCTGGACCTCAAGCCAGGCATGAGTATACTCCTAAGGCTCCTGCAGATGATGATTATCGTGCTGTCCTCTTTCCAATGCACTGAACGCATGCGAAGGCGGTAGCTCCCTAGCAGCACACAACTCCCAGCTTTTGCTTTGTAAACTTTTGTGCATGCATTTAAAGGCCTGGTTACACTTCATTTTCTCCATCTCTCATCCTTCCCAAGCTTTAAATAGAGTTTCATGTTCAAATTCACTCAAAATGAAGACCATTGTTTGCTGGAGAGCCGCCTTGCTCTGTAGGCTCTGCAGCCAGGAGTAACAAAATCAAACAGAACTTTCTTCCAATTCATCTGTCACTTATTTATACGTGTTGGTTAGCATATATAAATATTCATTATTAGCAAAGCCCAAAAATAAGATGTTGTCAATAATGAGCATGCTCTTTAAAGTGTACTTAAGCCACAGCAGTAGACTTTGAAAGACTTTTTAAAGGGTAACTTATCTCATTTCTCTCTCTTCCCCTACCAGAGCTGCAGACCAAACTGCCAGAACAATCATGGCGCCTCGTCTTTTGTCTGCACTTCCCTTTCAGAGATGAGGAGTAAACAAATGGAACTGAAGTTTAATTTGACAACGCCGACTCTTGCTCAGCTACAAACCCAGAAGGTTTCTGCAGATAGTGAAAGGTGGCACTCGAGCACCTCCAAACAATCAGCTCTTTTGCCTGTTTGTACTAATGTTTTTCCATGATGAAAGTTAAAAGTTTCTTGTTTATGCACATCTGCTTTGACTGATAGTCCCATCTTGGCAATGGAATAAAAAGACTACTTTTGAAACTAGAGTTTGGCCCAACCCCAGAATATTCAATGACTAACTGTCCTGGCTCTAATGTGAGAGCAAGTCTGGAGGATGGCAGATCAGGATGCTGCTCCGAGACGATTACAGCATTCCCTAAGCGTATTCCTGTTCACGCCTGCCCAACCCAGAGAGAACATGTACTGAGATTACAAATAATGGGCAAGAGTCAGAAAAGCAGAGCACCCCAGAAGTAGCAAGCAAAGAAAAAAAGTCGGACCCCAGTCTGCCTTATCGGTGCATCTAGAAGGTCATTTCCAGGCAGCGACACACGCTGCCTGGAAGTTATATCAATGAAATGGATTGCAAATCAAGATCTCCCCAGCCAGTCACTTTGTGTACAAGTCTATTTGTCAGCAAGATTTCTTTTAATGGATCATGTTTCCAAAGCTGTTAATGGCAGGACAACACAGCAGGTGTTTTGTAATTAAATATGGCAAGATAACTCAGCAGGAGCAGTCAATGCACGTTTCCCTCCCTTGTGTTTATCATCATAAACAAGTTCTGCTTTTCAATTATGCCGTGACCTGCTACCCAGCTCTCCTCTGCCCAGAGCCGTCCGTGGGACTGGTTATCACACACGGCAAAACCATTTTAACAGCAGTGGAGAGATCAGTCCACAATTTCACTTTTCAATTTTACTGTTTATGCACTGTTCGGAGCTTTATTCTCCCTATAAAAAGGCAGTTCTATTAAAGCAAATAATGTTTACTCATGTCTCGTGCAGATTTGATACACTTCAGAAAACAGATCGCATTTATGCCTTGTAGGAACTTCAGCAAAGCAAAGCATCTGGTGAACTGGAGTCCGTTCCAACAGCTAGAGGCAGCACACACTCCACTTGTTTTACATACAACCTACTGCATTTGAAAAAGCAAGGAAATCCACAAGATTTGTTTTCGCTTTGAAGATTTTCCTGGGTGTCAGCAAAAGTTGCCAAGACACATTTGTGGTTTCACACACCCCCATACACAGGTCTCCCGGAGAGCCCTCACATCTGAGGTTCACAGGCAGGTGAATAAAAGTGAGCGATAGGAAGCCCAGGAGCAACAATGCAGAATAGGAGAGCTTTAGTTTCATCAAAAAGCAGCTCACACGCATTGACCTCTGCAGAAAACAGCTTTAACCTATGCTGGGCCAGATTCTCAGCTGAATCCGAGCCCCTGATCCCTGTTCACATCAGTGGGACTCACAAGCCCACGCATCGTCTCCACAGCTGGAAGCTAAGAGGAAGCAGGAAGCGACGGCCCTCTGGGTTTCAGTCTCAAGTGAAGATGCATTTGGTAGGATCATTACAAGTGGGCAACAGTCCACATCGCAACGTGATTCAGAAAAATCTCTTCCTAAGGGAATTCCCAGCCAAGAATAGGAAAGTAAGGCTGAAGGTCAACACGGAGGTGCCCTGGAAGAACCGCACAAAGGAAGTTCCCATGGCAAGTGACAGCAGCAGTGCTGGAGTGAAAGAAAACTTCACATTCACGACCCGACTTGCAGAGAGAGGTAACATCATAGTTGGCTCCTCC